GAAATTATGCTTTTTCTTTTTAACTTGAAATTAAAAAAAAATTTTTTATCTAAATTTTATATAAATTTCAGAATTTTTTCGGATTTCTGTATAATTTTCAAAAAATTTCTCAGATTTTTAATAGAAATTAGAAAACTTTTCAGAAGTGATAAGAAAAACTGCATTTTTAATAAATTCTTTTATATTTTTTAATTCTAAAATATTTTAAGATTTTGAGGATTATTTTATAATTTTATAAAGAAAACTTGTTAAATTTGAAATATGACATTTATAAAAATATTATAAGATAATATGAGAATTTTTTTCATCAGAGTATCTTTACTGGATTATTTATGGACTACTAAGTCTCAACTTAATTGCACATAACGTGTCGCAAAATAACGTGTATTTAAATATATATTATTGTGTAATTATTATGACGTAAAGTACAGTGAGTGCAAAATGTATATTCATATAGAGAAAATATTTTTTAAAGAACCTTATTTTTAAAAATAAACATTATTTATTTTTAAAGAGAAATGAACTATGAATTGAATCGATATCGATACAATGATTTCGTCACGTGAAATGAATTGTGTTATGACACAACATGAATTGACGGTCATTTCTTGTTGGGACATCAACAATTTATTCATGTATAATAAAATAAAATAAACTGTATGTGTTTGTTCAAAATTATATCTACCAAAAAATGTTTATTAATTATAGAAAATGTATCATCTTACATATAAGCAAAAATTAAAATTTCTATTGCTGGAAACAAAGAGTATTCGAGACATTTTTAACTTTCTAAAGTCAGAAATACACGCCAGCTTGTTTGTTTAATTATGTTAGAACATAATATATTCATTAAAATTGCTAATATTTATTTTTTGCAAATAAAACTTTTTTATAAAAAAATATTTTGCACGATCAAGAATTGTTGAATTGAATTGAAAACGTAATTAACATTTATTTTAATTACATTAATTAAACCTCGATGTAAATAAAAATAATTTCAATATAATGAGACTCGAGGGTCTACACTTTTCAAACGGAAAAGATTTACAGATCTGAAAATACTTAAATCTGTTGAGCCATCAAAATAATTTTTTGCACTCGCAGTATGTATTATTATTTTTAAAGGCGTATTCTCTCGCTGTACACTGATGTCACGATTTACATAACGATGTATCAGTTATGATTCCTATTATTTAGATCTCACTCCTAAAAATTTACTGGAAATGCCGTTCATGCTTTACTCACGATTGACACAAACGTTTATCAGACAGCGTGACTTCATTAAATGTCTCGAGGAAACTTTTTTGCTATTTTGCCTTGACACACGCGTTAATCGGATTTGCATAACGTGTATTGTTTCTTACAACAGGTTGCAACATTTCACGAGTTTAAGAAAATGACAACGGCTCTTTGTGCAATCATAATTGTTTGTCAATATTCCTTCATATGTCAATTAAAAATTAGGATGTGAAATAGTTTCTTCTTCTATCTTACGTCTTCATTTCTTTCCTTCAATACTTTGTTTACTGTCACTTATTGCAAACCAATTTGTATATTGAAGTTAATTCTTATTGACGAAACGCGTTTGTCCGTTATATCAACACGAATAATAATTTCGTAATAACGCGTGATAAACGTTGTGACATAAGTTATCTAAAGTAATCTTGTTGACAAAGCGCATATATACAAAGTCTATGGTTCAGCCTTGCACCTGTTTGATTGTTCTCGCGGGATATTTTTAAGGCGGAACACTCTTCAGGACATCGCTCATGACGAAGGAATTTTCAATCGTCAGTTGCATATGTTGAAAGAAATATTTATCGTAATAATTATAAATGTAATTAACGTTCACTTTAATTACGTTAAACTAAGTCTTGATGTAAATAAACATAATTACGATATAATAAGATTCGAGGGTCAACTTTTTAGATGGAAAAGGTCTTTACAGATTTGAAAATAATTGTGTTGGACCATCTGACTAATTATGTATGATAAGCATGATGAGCAATGCTGAAAAACATTTTAACATTCTAGCCAGCATCTCTAATCAGCTTAAGCATTCTATACGTATAATTATTTTGATAATCCAATAAAATTTATTTTTATACACATAATGTAAAATAAATATTTAGACAATCAAAACATAAACTAAAATTTTATTTAATTTGTAGGGGAGAATGTTCTAAATCGGACCGTGTTTCAAATCGGACCTTTTTAATTTAAATAAATACTAAAATCTATACTATAAATTAGCAAACCGATGTTTCGACTTTGCACTTTCCTGTATTGGAAATATTGGAATATTAATTGTTGAGTCTAATTACTCTTTACAACAATCTTCAGGTCATGCAGATAGCCTTATCATCCTGTTATCATACTATGTACATCACATTCTGGAAAATACCTCAGGATAATATGCAGTACGTGATTCATGATACTCTTGGTAATGAATGAGATTTTTTACCGGTGACTTTTTTCAATCCTTCGATCAGTAGAATCAATTTTTGAATTATGCGGAAATATTAGAAATATTCTAGGCATTACATATTTTTTTATTTTGTAAATATTTTCTTTCTTAATATTTTAATATATTTTTGCGGTTGCCGATGCTTCGGTGAAACAACCGTTACTTCGCCTTTCCTTTCAGTTCAGACCTGCGAATTTACACAGCGATCTGAGCAAGATTGGAAGTTGGTATAGACGCTGACCGCGCGCGCTCGAGATATATTCTTAAAAAGAATATGATTTATATTACACACTTATATACAAATATCTTAAAATAAGAGATAGGTCTAGTAAGTTTTAAGTTTTGTATAATTCAAAATGATAATTAAAGTTTTAAACAGATTTTCTTTGGTGAATTCTTGAATGCTTTACATTATATAATATATTAACAGAAAACAGATCTATAAATTCGGAAAAGTAAAAATTTCTGTTGCTCTTTAATAAACAGCTCTATTTTGAAAGAAATAAAATATTCATTGCCCTTTTAATATTTTTCTCATGAAAATATTACTGATCGTTTTCAATAATGTAGATTATAGAACTGAGTACATGTGTATAAATTCACATCAAAAATATTGTTTACGTATTGAGATTTAAATCATTGAGATTTCTGTTACTCGGTTGTGTAACATTTGCAGTCTTAAGACACTTTGTTTAATGTAGATTAACTTTAATACTTTTTAGCTTTTACTAATTTTTAGATGAAGAGAAAAAGTAAGTTTATTTTTATGAAGTGAAATTAGAAACGAACACAAAAAGATTAATTAAATTGTATTACTTAAATATAAATTAAATTATTTAATTACACGTGAAAAAATGCACTCTGAAATAATTTCGCATTAAAAATAAAAAATAAAACAGGAACGTAATTCTCGAAAGATTATTTTAATTTATGATTATTAAATAACAAAAAATATTTTAATTAAACATAACAAAGATAACGAACTTCACAAGTCTTATGGTCTTTATCTTTTATAGGTATTTTTTTAACATATATGTCTTACGCGTGAAGCATTATAATCATAGATCGTCTTCGGTCAGTGACCGATAAACTTTGTATTTTCCTTGAGCGTCAAAGTGTTAAATGGTTTTTCCTATATAGCGATATTGATTAGTAAAATATCGACTTTCCTGTATGAGAAGTCATAAATCTGGAAAAATTGATAATGACGCTTTATACAGTATGTTTCTAAATAAATTACCTGCATTGAAATAGTTGAATAATTACACTGTCTGACAAATTTTTATTTTTTCTCGCAGCACAAGTATAAATATTCATTTCCGACATATTTTTACCTGTTGAACACAAATCCGTCGATCAAATTTGGATAATGCATTACAATTTTGAGAAACGAAAAAAAAATATCGATTTTGAAAGTACATGAAGCATGGTTATAATACGTAACAACAATTTTTTTTTAATTTTGTTAATACCATGCGAAAGTACCAATTTTTAATTTTAAATGCATTTTGTTTCAATATGATTCTTTATTTTTAAAATTTATTTATAACAATTTGAAGTATAATACAAGCAAAAGACATTTTATTCCATCTTATATTATATATGTATTATCTATGTAAAATGTAAGTGCTTCCGTATATTACATAACAATCATAGTATAATCGAATCATACTAAATTATAAAAAGTAATATATATATATATATAAAATTGACTAAATAATACAATATGGTAGAAAAATTATAATCTTCCATGATTTAAGATTATAATTTTTTATGTCATGTTGTATTTTGTCAATTTAATATAAAAAATTAATTAATTAATTAGTTCAATAGTGTGTATTATCGTATCTCTCTATAATCTATATCATACTTTAATAGCGCATTAATGACTTTGATATTAAAATACTATTTATCTACTATATTGTATGTTTCAAATTTAAAAAACATATAAAGAAAAGAGAGAGAGGTAGTACATGCAATTGTTAGAATATCATTTTTTAAATTTAAATTTCTAATAATTTAATAATTTAATAATTTTTAATAATCTTTCAAATATATTTTTAGAATCTTAATCTTGTGGATATCGGAATAAAATGGGGGATATTGAATATTGACTTTGATATTGGAATTTTCCAATCTTTCCTCTCTCTCTCTCTCTCTCTCTCTCTCCCCTTCTTTCTTCGAAGAATTTTTAACTTCAATATATATATTCTCCAATTGTCAATATCCAAATTCTTATTTTCGATTCTAATTTTGATTATTATTTATTTCCGGATTTAATATTTTAAACTTGATCTTAGTTACAATTTTGTTAAATTATTTATCTGTAATTTAGAAACAAAAAGCGGTTGACAGCTAATTAATGACTAGCGTATCAACTTCTTTATTACGTTAGATAATTATAGCATAACGTTGAGATTGTACGACCTTCTGTGTTATTGGGAAAGTGACACAGCAAGCAAATAAATTGCGTGTAGCCAGATAAGGCGGGGACGGTGGAAGCAAATGATACAGACTCTCTTTTCAAACGCAGATACAAAACACGTAGCCGAAGAGTCATATGGATCCCGGGTCGACAAGTTAATCGTCCTCGTTTCAGCGGACCTTGTCAATCATCAATGCGCACACGTTTTTTTATCTACTACGGCAACAGTAAGTAAACGGAAGCAAAAAGATCATTTTTCATTAATAAAGGAAGAAAAAGACTCAGTATAAGTCTCAATTATCTCTAAAACACAATAATGGCAGAAAATCAGTAGAAATAAATTGTTTCTTAAGCATTGAATAATAATTATATATGCAAAATAATTATTATTCAATGATAAAAATAATTATTATTTATTTCATTATCATAAATAATAAAGCTGATTATTATTAATAATATATATATGTATTATATATAATAATAATTATTAAATTAACTATAACATAATTATAGAGGAAGGTCACTGATATCAACATATCGCTTTGTATTGGACAATATTTCTTGAACAAATATCAAAAATAAAACTTTAAAAATAATACAAACATAAATTAGAAAATGTTTTTTGTAAATTAAGTAAAAATGAATGCTTGTCAATATGGGCCATAAAATTTACACATTAAACAGTGATGTCACATATTTCTATTCTTTTTTTTTTATAAAAGTTATCCATACAAAATATTTATAAATAAATGTCTATATAAGATTTTTTTAGAATCTGTTTGATATATGATAAAACGATTTTCGCTGGTTCGTTTAGAATATGCATACTTACTTCGTGCTATTCTGAAAAATGCAAACATGTAATACGGGAGTTTTTCTTTTTAGAGATTTTCCATAAATACACGATTGCCTTCAACTCCGACAGGACTATTTAACAATAGTACATAATACTACAAAGATTAAGAAAACTTAATATATGATCTGCCTTACAAACAGATGTGTCGGTTTACAGTGTATCTCGATTTTATATTTAAAATCATATTATGAAAAAAATAAGAAAAAGAAAAAAAATTAATTTGGAAAATTACAAACATAAAATAATGTAACATTGTCAATAATACGGTCACTATTATTTAAACTACACAATTTGCAAAAGAACATCGTAAGAATTTTGTTTTTGTTTTTAGCTGTGTAGGAACAAGCTATAAATGTATGAAGTATGAGTTTTTACTCTTTTTAGTCATCTAAACAGATCATTAATTTTTTTTTCCAAGAAATAAGGAAGTATTTCTTTAGAAAACCTATGTCAATATCGACGACTTTCCTTTAGTAATGATTCTAATTACTATCATGTAATTGATGTCTTTAACAGATAATAATCGTTATTATTTTATAACAATTGCTAGATTCACGGATATCTTGAACACTACAAGGAGAGGCACTTGAAGATCTCAAAAAGCAACAAATATTTCGTTCACACAAGTATTGATGACTGATATCTTTTCTACCTATAAAAGACTTTATTAAGAATTTGTGATAAGATTTAAGTCCATTGATTAATTGTGAAAAGTATAGTGATATTTGCAAACAGTTGATACAATGAGATATGTGAAGTGTCCATTTTAGTCTGATTATGATCGTGTGAAGAGATCGTCAATTATACCGGATAAACGACAATCTATGAGGATTAAGAGAGGAATCTTCATTAATTGTCGAAATGTATGATATAATAAAAGAGAGAATTCTATAAGATTCTTAAATAGTAAAGAAATTCTTCGTTTGTTTGAAAAAAAAGAGTGGTTATTCAACGGCAGACGAAAGCTTCGAAGTGTTGATATAATCGTTGATCTAACTTGATAAATTAATCGATCGTTTTGAAACCTGGAAGTGGCAGCTCGCGAGTTAATGCCGCGTGTAAGGACAGATGGATTCAACGAAAATCAAGTCGAAACCGAATCCGAGGGAGAAGGCGAACATCGTGTCGGTGTTACTTTGGTGGTGAGTTGCGCGATTTTTCTGCGTCATTATCCTTTCTTCTTTTGAGATTCTACTTATCTTTTGCGAAATATGGAGGAATTCAAGGAACACAACAAGTAAAAATAACGTCAAAATGACTTTATTTTAATGCTTACAGTCAAAGAGTTCAATTTTGCAACCAAAAATCATCATTTTGACGCCAAGGTATGTCATTTTGACTTACTTTTCAATTGGTGTATTCCTTGGTGATTTCTTAAGTCTTGGATATTCGAACGTTGAGTAATAGAGAGAGAGAGAGAGAGAATATCTAAAGATTTATTTCAAATCCTTAGATTTACGAATAACTGCACAAAAAGGATCTTTAATGACGCATTTAAAAATTGAGCAGATACAAATATGCAAATTTTGGTGCACCATCAAAATAATTATGCAGAACGTTCAAACTGGTCGCTAAAATGTCAAAATTTTTTGTAGCGTTGTTCATCATGCTTGAGATTACTATGAATTATTTTGACGGTTTAACAATATTATTTTCAGAACTGTTTCGAGATGAACTTTTAAATAACTTTAACAGAATTGTTTCTTCTGTGACGTGAATTTTAAACCAGAAACACATAGAAAAATGCAATAACTTTACGTTCTCTATTGTAATTGGTCAATTCGTTTAATGCTTACATCTTATTGCTTTTTTGTATATATCGTGGACATTAGACACCAAAACAGTTAACTAAAGCTCTCGCAATTGATCGCAATTACTCCTGTCATTCTGTATTATCTCATTTCAATCTTTCGTTATTACATTCGAAGTCATACATTATAGATTACATTATAATTAATAGTTTAGTGTTTTAAATAATTAATAAATATATATGTATTTAGATATCTGTAAATATTCTTATGTTTAAAATTTTTATATTTAACATATTGTTTCAATTTTTCAAGTCATATTCAACGTTTGACTTGTTGGGTTAATAATTATTTAGATAGAAAACAGTCGAATTGAAATAACAGACTGATTTAAACCTCAAGGTTGATTCTTTATCTTAAATTACTTCTTATCTTCACGCAAATTTACATTGTCTTCAAACGTGACATTGCATCTTGCGAAACTAACATAACAAAAGTGCACAGTCATACCATAAAATAATTATGAACGAAGCTATTTTTAATCCCTTAGTTCCGTTTCAATTCCGTCATATATATGTTCTTATGCTCTTCTCTTATCGTTATGTCACTCTAAAAATACTTGATAATAGATATTTGATAGCAGTAAGATATCTAGTATCTAATTTACACAAATTGTGTTGAATTAGGTGGACCATTAGTTTATTCAAGACAGGATACAAAAAAGCTTTAGAAATAGAAGACTTATTTGATCCTTTGAAAGTCGATCGATCGACGTTGCTCGGAGATCGATTAGAAAAGTAAGTGTAGAAATTGTATAAAAGAAAAGATAAGAAAAAGAAGAAAAAGGAAGAAAGAAAACGTTAACAGGATTTTCTTTCTTTTGTGTTACTCTTTTATAAAAGCATAAGAATTATTAATTATTAACACATTGGTCTATTTTCAGACGATGGAACATCGAGCTAGAAAATTCGAAAAAATGGAAACGCAGTCCAAGTTTGTTAAAAACTATTTTTCGTACATTCTTGTGGGAGTACTCCATGCTAGGAATAATACAGATTCTCAACGAATTCGTGATAAGGTAAGATTAAGCACTCGTTATCGCTTATTTCTATAAATCTTTCGTTCTTTATTTTCTTTCCATAGGAATAAGATGTCATTTCTCTTTATTTATTGACCAATAGTAACGTTAATTTTATTGCAGTAATACTTGATTGTAATGAATTTATTATGGTAATCAAATACTGATTTTAACTTGTAAATATAGCTATTTTTCAAGATAACTTGAATACATTTTTTTATGTAAGAGGAATAACAATTTTTTATTAAAAATAATTCGGAAAATATTCAAAATTTCTTAATATTTTTTACATTTACGGTTGACTAAAAACGTAATACATTGTTTTCAACATATTATCACTTGCAAACCTATTACATGAAGCGATAACATTTCAAACAAAATGGAAACGTGTTTGAAAAGAAATACCTGATATCTAAAACATTAAGAATAAATATATTTTGTTGTTCTTGCATAAACATATAATAATAATATACTATAAATACATTAAAATATGCTGTAAATAGATTAAAATATGATAAATAATAAATAATAATGAAAGAATAGAAATAATAATATAATGATAATATAAGTGGTATAGACTATTATACTTGTTTCATTTTATATTGATTTTAATTATTTTAATTATTTACTAGAGCAGATAAATTATACATATTTAATTTATTAATTTACTTTTTTTTTAAATTCTGAACTAATTCTTTAAACTAAAAAAACCTTAAGTTTATAATAACACTAGTTATTTTGGATTCATCTCGAAAAAATTTTTCTATAACGTTTACTTCAAATTCTTTCTTCTCTTTTCCAAAATTAATTTCTTGTATATAAAATATTTATTGAACATAGTAGTTATATATATAATTTTCGTATATATATATATATATGTATAATTTTTTTGTTATTATGTTTGTCCTTCTTTTAGATTTAGTGGGGGGGGCCACGGTCCATTTGCCTCTGGTTACGCTCATGTGTAATAATATAATCATTAGAAATAATAATAATTATCATTCAAGATATAGAATCTATAGGATAATAAATGTCCAATATTAACATATTAAGTATTAACGCGCAAAACGTGTTCCGCAGGCTAGGTACGCCATTGCTATTAGGTGGTCTTCTGCGCTACTTTCGGAAGGATTCAGTTGAACCGTACGAGAATGCTTTGTGGTTTGGAGCTGGTATCTGTATTGCAACCGGCATGAACGTCATAAGCGGCAATCAGGCGATCTTCGGCGCTTTCCACGTGGGTGCCAAGGTTCGCGTGGCCGCATGTTCCGTGGTGTACAGAAAGGTTGGTTGGCACTCGGAGCAATCTACTATAATTGGAACAATTCGGACTAACGTATAACGCGAGAGGAAACAAAACTAAATACAAAGTCGTGTAAGAATTGGACCCTGTAAGTGGCGAAGTTTTACTTCGCGCACTTTTCTTCAGTTCCTCAAAATAAATGTTATTTTCTTCACCGCACAAGAAAAAGAAGAAATGGAAAAACCAATGACAAAAGAGACTAAATAAATCAGTTTTTTAAATTCTTTATATTCCCTAAGAAAAAATCCTTTGAATTATTTAGTCTTTTAAAAGACTAAACATGACAACCAATTTTAACACACAGTGTGACACATAAAAATTTGTTAATAAAGTTCTGTATTATCAAATCAGTTACGTATGTAATATGTATTTTATAAAAAATATGATCTGTGGTTTGAGAGAGAGACATAAAAACATTCTAAAAATATTTTGGTAAATTATTTAAAAAAATTTAAAATTTCAATCTTTTTTTCTATAAAATATTTTGAAAATGTTTTATAAATATTACAGTATACAAAATATTTATGAATACTTTTTTTATATGAATATATCGAAAAAATATATTCAAATATATGAATATTTGTTTTGCGATATAATTTATCTACATATTGATTCTTATTTCTTAGATTATGTAACGGATATTCTTCTTTTGTCTCGCAGGCTCTACGTCTGAGCAAAACCGCAATGGGCGAGACAGCACCCGGAAAAGTAGTTAATCTGGTGGCTAACGATGTCAATAGATTCGATCTCGTCTCCATCTTTATTCATCACATGTGGTCGGCACCTCTTTCCGCCCTGATCGTGGCTTATATTCTCTATCAGCAGGTCAGCTATGCTGGCCTCATCGGTATCGCCGCCGTCTTCGTCGTCGTACCAATTCAATGTGAGTTTTTCGCGTCACCATCGAGCTTATATAAAAACTTTACTTTTTTAATCATTACTGAATAGAAGCGCCAACTATGGTCAAAGTTAGACTGTGGAATAATAATTTTATATATATATAAGTAATTATATTTTAAACACATTTTACTTCAGATGACTGCGTGCCGACTTCTTTCGGACTTGAAACACACTCAAACTGAATAATAACAATAATAATTCCAATAAATTAAATACAACCAATTTAAAGACTTTTAAAACTCTATTTTTTTAAACTTATAGAAAATAAATTTAAAATGTTTTAAATCCGGACAGACTTTTTATGACATTTTGTAAGCCATTTTGTTGCAGTGGCGTTCACCAGTTCTTATTTCTGGGATTTTAGCTTACACCGGCAAGCTGTCATCAAAGTTTCGCCTTCAAACTGCTATCAAGACTGACGAGCGAGTCCGACTGATGGACGAAATCATTTCCGGAGTGCAGGTGATCAAAATGTACGCATGGGAGAAGCCGTTCTGCGCCATGGTCGAGCTAGCGCGTAAACTTGAGCTTCGAGTGGTCACCAAAAGCTCGTACATCCGCGGCATTTATATGACCTTCAATCTCTTCACAACTCGTATGGCGCTCTACTGCACCCTCATCGCCATGCTGATGTTCGGCGACAATTTGACCGCAGATAAGGTCTTTGTCGTTTCGTCTTATTTCAATATTCTCGCACACACTATGACTGGCATGTTCGTACGCGGTTTCGCTGAGTTGGCTGAGTGTATGGTGGCTATACGTAGGCTTCAGAGTTTTCTTATGTTCGACGAGTTCCAGGGCAGTAACATTGTTGTCTCCAAGGCGTCCATCAGCTACGCCAATTCAGATCTTAAACGGTTCTCCAAATCGGATCTGCCCTACATTGATGACGACGATGTGAATCAGCTAGATTCACGTGGAGAGAATTTGGATGAGAACAGAAAACAGAACGGTCTATTGATTGTTGCCAGTGACTTATTGAAAAACACTGCTAATTTTGTAGCAGGTAAAGATTACAAAAATATATGAAGAGAGAGAGAGAGAGAGAGAGAGAGAGAGAGAGAGAGAGAGAGAATGAAAAAAA